TCCTGCTGAGCAGGGAAAGAAATGATTATTTATTGCGCTCATCCCATGGGTCAGGCCTAAAGTGTGTAATTTTACCTGGGCTACTTCATTTATGTTTATGATAACCTTGTGAGGTAGGGTTTTTTGTTTTTGTTTTTCCCCATCTTTTTCCAGAGGAGGAAATGATAGCTTAAAAGATTGGGGACATTTCTCTGAAATGACACTGCCAGTAACAGCAGAGGGAGGTTTGCATCTGATTCCCAGTATGCGATCATACCTGGTATTCCTCTGGTGCTGAATAAGCATTTGTTAGCATTTGTTAGGCTTCCTTTCCACCTAACCCAGGCAGGTGCAGGGAAGGGCTGATGTTCAGGGACCCTGGCACCCAGTGTTTCCCAGAGGGGCCAAGGCACTGCAAGTGTCACGGCGCCAGCCCCATCAATATTATCGCATGTGTACCATCTAAGCCTTTCTCATGGTCTGAGGGAGCCGAATGCACTCACACGGAGATGTTTGAATCCTCTGACCTTCAGCCTGCTGGGGAGAGATTGGAAGGTGAGCCATTCTAAGCGATAAGCGCCAGAGAGCCAAAGTCCCCCTCCCCATGGCGACATAGTCACGTTCCTGTGGGAGGGCCCACACACTTGGAACAGGGCAGCTGGGTGGTGGTTCAGGTGCTGTGGGGATGCGGCCAACCTTGGGAGGCCAGCAGAGCAGACCCTACATCTGAAAAGTGCTCCGGAGGCCCCCTCCTCCTGAAAGGACTTTAGTCTTTGGGACCCTCAGCTAAGCTGAGTGGCACAAGAGGTCGCACGGCAGGTGGTGAAGGAAAGGAGGGGACACAGCCACCCGCCACCTGCAGTCCACTCAAGGCTTGCATCATGGAGCTGAGGGGGTCCCGCTTTCGGGGGAGAGAAGGGCTGGGAAAGCAGCAGGAGCAACCCTCTGGAGCAGGTGAGCCACCGTCTGGGAGTGCAGAGAGCTCGGGCGTTGGGGTGGGATGTATAGTTGAGAGGCGGCTCCTACTGTCCTGTCTCACTCACTTCAATCCTTTCTGCTGTCCTGGGAGGCCAGAGAAGGTAGACCTGCTCCAAAACCCATGGCTGGGAGATGGAGAAGGGAACGACATATTCAGAACCGTGACCTTGCCTTATTTTTTGGACCCATTAACCTCAGAGGGTGACTGGATTAGCTCCGTGTTTGTTCCCGGGGTACCCTGTTCCAGCAATGTTGTCAGGCTCCCTGCTTACCAGTGGCTCCCTCATCTTCCTAGTTACCCCACAAATGAGACTAGCATATCGGTGGGTTTGGTGGCAGGAGGCTGCTGAGCATACAGAAAGCATTTCCTGGACGAAGGATGCATCTGGGTCTACACAGGGCAACAGGACCCTGACTCTCCCTTCCAATGTGCCCTTTGACCCCTCCCCCTAGGGAACACTGAGACACACAGAGCCCCCGACTTGGTGCAATGGACTCGACATATGGAGGTGAGGAACGTCAGAGGCCAAGATGAACAGGTCCTGCGGGGGTGAGAAGCAGGGGTGAGGACTGGCTTGGTGATAAGATGACTTGTTCTAGAGTTCAAAGATCAGGTTAGAATGAAGAGCTACAATGGTGGGGAGGGGGTTGAAACTCAGGTCCTCAGGACGGGGATCGAAAGTCAGCTGGTCAACAGTCTTTTTGTTTGTGGGGCCAGAGGTTAGGGGTGAGAGCGTGAGGATTAGCTGTAACCTGCCTAGGATTCAGACCCAGGGAGTGGAGTGATGTTCCTGCTCTCAGCTGACCCTCAGGCTGCCCTGGGAAGCCACAAGATCAATTCCTGGGGACCTCAGAGCAGGAATTATGGCTTGCTCATCTTCCTATTCTAGCATCTTTTTATTTTGGGAGAGGTCTTTGCCTTAGGGTGCATGCGCTCATGAGAGACAGAGATGGAGGCAACGAGAGAGAAAGTGAGAAATCACCCCCAGGGGTGATGGCCATGCCACAATCCCTTCACCTCCAATTTCTGCCCGGAATCTTGGGCACATATGCACACACTCCTGATTTCCAAGCCACCAGGTCTGGGACTCGAACCGTGTGGTCAGCTACATAGGAGTCCAATGACGTAACCACTATGCCATCAGCAGCCACCTCTATTTTAGCATTCAGCATTGCACCTGGTGTAGAGAGAAGTTGAGTGAGTGCTGGCGAATAAAGGACGGCTGAGGGGATGGAGGGGCAGCGGGCCCTACCTTGGCTTTGTCCCATAGGCTGTGAAGACACAACTGCTGGAGCAAGTGCAGGGACAGCTGGCAGGGCTGCTGGATCAAGCCATGTGGGAGGCTGTGCAGTCCTACCCGCCACCAGGGA